GTGCAAATATTAGGCAATTGAAATTGCTCCAGCCTATTGAAAGCAGTCCTTCAGGGACTAGTATATGGACGCGATTCAATAATGTGATTAGTGAATGATCCTTGAGAATTGCATTTGAAGTGAAAATACTGGATAATCTTTCTGTCCCTACCCAACTTTTGTGGAATCTATGCTGACGACTCCAGAAAACACCTTCTGTCTGGGAAACAAATTGTGTCTGGGAAACGTTGAGTTCCCGAACTCACAATGGGAAGTTACGGGAGCCGATTCGTCAAACAGACTGTATTTCTTAGAATTTCGAGCGCTCACTGAATTACAGGGCAAAAAACCCACCAGCCTCACCGCCGCCAATATCATAGGATGTCGATGGTTCGAATCTTTCACCGAGTGCACTTGTCAAGCCAATCGATTGATCAAGACCAGTGGTACGGTAGCTGGGCGTGTACGTCTCTGTGATTGGTTGAGTTGCTACTGAAAATCGGATCATGTCGTTTTTAAGTTGCTCAAGTTCGGTGGAAAATTTGCATGAGAATTAAGAAGTATCGCTTGAATCATTTAATTTGATGCTCTAATTTGATCCATAAAATTTGACAAGCGTGAGCGTTTACTGGAGTTTATGGCCGTGATACGGTCTTGAGTGCTCTCCGCAATTAGGTCACATGTCATAGTATTCATTCATCAGTATTTTTGATACAAAATGCCCCTGAGACTTGCGCCTTCTCGGTTTAATGTCTGATCGATCGATCGATGAGTGATCGATCGATCGACCATCAATTCAGCGTCCTTCTAGGCTAGTTTAAGTTGAAAATGAATGAGCTTTACCAGCTTCGCGAACAGAAACTGTACTTGATTTGTAGATGTCACTACCGGCTGATGAATAGTCTGCCAACGGCTGCGTCATCATGCTTGACGAGAAAGCTGCTTGGCTGAAAGAAACGGCAGATGAGACTCTTGGATCTCAAGATTTGCTAACAGATAGCACTTTCTGCAGGCAGCCAAGTACCATCTATCATTATATGTTGGCTTTTTGCGCTAGTCGCCAAATTTTTGAACAAAATGCTAAAGAAATGGTCACATTTCCAGTGATCGAACTCACTTTCCAATCACATAATCGAAACTATCCGTTTGCGGATAAGCGGCTCTCGANTTTCCAGTGATCGAACTCACTTTCCAATCACATAATCGAAACTATCCGTTTGCGGATAAGCGGCTCTCGACAATCCGCTTGAATACAAACCACCACTGAAACTGCTGCCACCCACTCGCGAAACATCCGTCACATAATTCAACGATGTTGTGGCAGCACTACGGCTTCTCATGCGCTCGGCATTCAACTGATCACGAAGCATGGCCAGTTGACTCTCGAGTTGTTGTACACGACTCTTGTAGGAGCGATCACGATTCTGGAACGCACGTTCCACCTGCGTTTTCTCGACCTTCAACGAGTTCACCAACTTCTGACGCTCATCACGCTGTTTATTGGCCAACTCAATCAGGCGATTGCCACTGTCGTACTCGAGTTGGGCGATTTGTTGCTGCAGGTTGACGCAGTTACGATTCAACTCCTTGTTCTCACGTTCCAACGCATTTAGTGAACGTTCGATTTCGGCACGTTGCGAGGCAGTCTCGTTGATGACGGCTTGGGCTGAGCGCTTCTCCACTTCCAACTGAAAATTTTAAGAGTGAGTGAAAAAACTGCATGAAAATTCTCACT